CCGGACCTCGCTGACAGCCAGGGCTCCGGGCCCCCCGCCCTCCCCAGGCCCCCCGAGGGTTAAAGGGAGCGAGGGCCTTGGCCATCCTGCCAAGGATGCGCTGGCCCTCCCCGCCCGCCTGAGGTGCTCTTCTCCTCCTGGTGAAGCGAGGGTGGGGCTGAGGGATGCCGCCCCACAGGTCTTCTCAAGGGCAGCCCCGTCCAGCTATTGGATCGAAGATACTCGCAGACCCTCTTGCTGAGGAACAGCCCCTGCTCTGAGGGGATTAGCGGTGGCGGCTGTGGTACCTGTGGAGACGCTGAGGGAGAGCAAAATGGAGGTCCTGACGGAAAGACAAGTCAAGGACAGTGAAAGACGTCGAAGTCCCAAGTGGGAATCCCGCTCAAAAACATCAGGTTCTGGAACATTTGCCTCCGGAAATGCAGAAATGTGGGGAAATTCAGGGGTGGAGGAGGAAACCTTGGAGAAAAGCGAAGCGTGCGAGGGAGAGAGGTGGCAGCTACATTTTGGAGCAGAAATATAAAGCTATTTTAATATAAGCAAGTGTGAAGAGAAACACGTAGTTCATGAAGGGCTAGAGAACAATTAAACAATTCTCAGAAATATAAGCTATTTTAATATAAGCAAGTGTGAAGAGAAACACGTAGTTCATGAAGGGCTAGAGAACAATTAAACAATTCTCAGAAATATAGGATTATCTTGAGGTAATAAAAGGACAGAACTGACTGAAGAAAAAATATGTGTGAATGGAGTTTTGGCTAGGAAAGGCGTAACCAGTTCCAATTTTGTGGGAAGTAAGGCTTGATGAAGCTCTTTCTGCACTTGGAATGCATATGTAAGAGTCGTCTGGATGCTTTTAGGAGAACTATACACAAACAGCTGGTCAGGCCCACAATGGTTCTATTACTGCTCTACGTGAAGCTCTTTGCACATTCAAAACATTTAAATGGCTTCTCTGCTGTGTGGAAGCTTTTATGAGAAGTAAGGGAACAACTGTCACTGAAGCTTTTTCCACACTCCATACATTTATATGGTTTCTCTCCAGAATGGATCCTTTTATGGGAAATTTAGGTACCACTGTTCTTGAATTGCTTTCCATGCTCTGTCTATTGATATGATTTGTCCCCTGTATGGATTCTTTTACGGATAGTAAGGGTACTCCAGTCATTAAAGCTTTTTCCACACTTCATGTATTTATATGGTTTCTCTCCAGTGTGTAGTGATCGCTAGGAGTCCAAAACAACCTGATGGCACATAATCAATCACAGTATTACTGAATTACACAATTGTTGCATTTGCTTTTGCTGGAGTTAATGAGGCACAGATTCATGTTTTTGTTTCCTAAGAAATTGAGACTAGTAATGAAAATAGAAGAATAGTAATGAAAACCAGATACAGCAAGACGTCACAGATACAGCCTGCAGCTCTTAGGACTTTGGATTTTGACCAGCTGGAAGTGAACAAATGGCCAGTTGCTGTTTTAATTTTGGCAGTTGCAAATCCTACATACTGCCTTTTAAAAAAACAACTTTTTTTGTCCATTACTGTGAGCAAAGGAGTTAGCAAGAATCTTTTCCTGGTGGAATGGTCATAACATGATGCATGTGATGCATGTACATTAGATGGAGACCTATGTTATAAAACTTGATAACATTGCATGTCTTCCAATATCTGTAGGAGACTCCAATGAAGATCTTTACAATGGATCCGTGCTTGGCAAATGGAATAATGCCATTACTGTTCTTCTATAGAAAGGGAAAGATAGGAATAGCGAGTACAAAAACGACAAGGGGGTTAGGTTAAACATCCCCAGGAATGTTTAATTCTAATTAAAAGATTATGAGAGGCAACAATAAACAAAATTTGGGAAATATGCTGTAGCTTTATGCTGGTCAGGGAGTGCACAATATATGATGGAAGTAAAACATACCTAAAAATAAATGTACACTTAGCAAATGGTTCGACGCTGAGCAGGGAGTAAGATGGGGAGGTGTGATATCTCCTTAGTTGTATAATATATTTATGGATTCATGCATGAAGAATCCTTCTGATGATGGTAGAGATGAATTGATTAGGGATGTGAACATATGGGTGCTTTGTACACAGATTTATTTATTTATTTATCTTGTCCCCGCCCATCTCCCCACAATGGGGGACTCTGGGCGGCTTACAACACACTAAAACAGAAATACAATTAAAAGTTATAAAAGTTATATAAAAGTTATAAAAGTTAAAAGATGCCATGTTGTTGGCTGAAAACCTGAATGATTTGCAGCAAATGTTAGATAGAGTTTATGGTGCAACAAGGACTATGGATGTAAAAATGAAGATCATGGTTTCTTGAGACAAACTGAACATTCATCCAGGAGGCCCTCAAATCCAGGATGTGAAGGGGTTCCCTCACAGATCAAAGCAGGGAACTGTTGATCTTTTACATTTCTGAGAACTCCAGATTGGATCTTTTATTTCTTCCAGCCAGCTGATAGGCTCTGGTTTGAGAATTTCTTGGAAAAAAACAGACTGGTTACTTTAACATCCTTTTCCCAACATTCCTTTTCCCAATAATTTGAACTTAGAGCAAAGAGAACTCCTTACCTAGTGAGGTTACATTTCTAGAACTTTCCAGCATGACCTCCCCATGGAGAGCTTTTTGGGCAGAATCTAGCAGAGCCCACTCCTCTGTGAAACACACTGTTACCTCCTGGAAGTACACAGTACTCTGAAAGAGGAAGAAAATATTTGTGATTAACCTATCTGGTCAAGAAGGCTTTGAAAGATTGCTCCCTTAACTCACACTTCTCAAAAACAGACACTTGAATACAAAATACATATCAATCACACTGGTCCCTTTAGGCAACCTAGAATCCCTAATCTAGAGACTACATTGCAGGCCAGCATATTGTTGTCTGCATTTCACCAACCCAGAGGTAAATGCAATGCTCTAATACACAGTCAGGATAGAGATTTGCAATGGAGCCAATGCTATTTTCTCTGCAGAATTTCAAATTTTAATTATATAAATGGAAAACAACTCTCAGCAAAAATGTAAGCTTCTTGACCTTGCTAGACCTTCAGGATTTCAGCAACACACTCTGCATTGACAGGATGTTGTTAAGGGTAATGACCATAATCTTGGATAAAAGTAAAGGTCATCTTTGCCATTTTAAGGGGTAAAATTGAAGCAAATTTTCAGATATTTGGCACCATAATGAGAGAAAGCGCTGCAGACATCAGGTTGAGCAATACAAGGTATAGAGTTCAAATTTTGCTTTGCATTAGGTTCCAGGATGCTGCAGGGGTTATGAATCTTTGCCTTGATGACAACAAATACATTGAAGCTTATGCCAGAAGCCCTGATACAAGAAAAAATATTCAACCTATTTGAGATGGCACTTTCTCAGCAGACTACCTAGGCTACCTGGAGGACTCCAAACCATCTCAGTACAAACCATCTCTTCCTGTACCTGAGATGGAGCCACCATTGTGACTTTGGTTCCAGAGGAAAAAAGAGATGTCTCAAGAACTGCTACAGAAGCTGTACCATCATCTCCTGATGAGTGAGACAAAAGTTTTTTTTTTTAATTGTTAATAAAATCTGGGGAGGTATTGAATAAAAACTCATCCAGTTTGTAGCTACTTGTGTAATCCTCCCTTACTTGGTGAGTCATTCTGTTTATCACAGGATAGCCCTAAAAAGAGTATCCTAGAGAGAGATCTGGTGGATCTCTCCTCACCTTGGGACCTTGCACATCCACATACATGAAAATTCCCTGCATGCAAACGGCAGTGAGGAAGAAAAGCAAGTTTGGAGCTGGCAACTAGAAAAGGTGGCATTCTCATCTACCACCAGCAGTCCATCCTCTACATAAATGGGGATGGAGGACAGTTTTGAGAAAATGAAATCTCTCCATGTGAGGAATTCCACTAATCCAGGTATGGAGGGATTTAAAGAAATCAAGGACAAGGTTTCTTCCTGGGTGAAATATTCTCTCATCCGTTTTCTTTGTCCTCCACCAGGGCCACTGCCTGGGGTCTGGTCTCTGCTCCAAACTCCCAAACATAGCTCTCCATTTCTGTGGGCAGGATGGTCGTGAACTGCTCCAGGATAGGTCCAACATCTGTGTGTGTGGCTTTGTGTGTCTTTCTGGCTTCAACCATTGAGCACAAAGACAGTGGAGGCAGCTGTAAACTTCTCATGATGCCTGAGCCTTCTAGTAGCAGAACTCCCTGAAGTGCTGGTACTGGACATCCTAAGTGAGGGTTTTTTCTTCCGGGATCTTCTCTCTGGCCCTTTCTCTGAATTCCCCACTGCTCTCAACTTGAGTAGCATGCTTTCCTGGCCCACAGAAGATGGATGCAACAGACCCATCTGAGAGGGACCAGGAAAGCACTTTCATGCTACTCAGGTTGAGAGCAGTGGGGAATTCAGAGAAAGGGCCAACAGAAGATCCATCTAGTGGTGGTTTGGAGTTTTGCAATCTAGATCTGGTAGCCTGATTTACAGTATTTTGACACCTTGCAAAGGACATACTGGCCATATCCATGTGTGCCTGCACTCATAAGGCCCCACATATAAAACTGGCTGTGGAAAATGCCAATGCTTTTTTTTTTAAGTCTCAATTCTTCCTCTCTTCTAAGGAATCACACTATGTTGCTGTGCTTTTGTTTGTGTTTGAACACTTGAGAACAAACTGAAATGCATAATATTTAGCTTTATAGAAAGATCAATACTTGTTAATATGGAAGAAAAAACAACTACATACAAACCACTACATTTATTTTTAATTTATTTACTTACTGGATTTATATAGCTGCCCATCTCACATGCATTTACTCTGCACAACTAACAATATGAAAAATAATAAAAAACATATACACATTTATATACAGGTAGTCCCTGGGTTAAGAACGCCCGGTTTAGGGATGACCAATAGTTAAGAATGAAGCTTATTGTACCAAAATTTAAGTACACAATGATTTGAGTTAAATACACAATGGTCCAAGTTAATTCTTATACTACTTATACTTATTCCAGCTTACATACAAATTCAACCTAAGGATAGATTTTGGGAACTGAACACGTTCTTAAACTGGGGACTACCTGTATACAAATATATACAAATCACTAGGCAAACAATCTAAATCATTATTAAAGGTTAGAAATGCTACTGAGTGGAGCTTAAATTCTGGAAACAGAATCCATGCAGTTTTCCTAGCAGTGTTACCGTTAATGATGGGCAGTGTGAAAGAGCATTCTTTTGTCTATTCTAAATCTCCTGCTAATCAGCTTAATTGGATGATCCCTGGAACCTAATGTTTTCCACCAGGGTGGTTCATCTTTTTTGTTTGTTTAAGAGTGCCAAACACAAATAAACATATCCAAGACCCTGATCATTTGAATGGCTGCTTTTGAACTTTGTCCATCTCTTTTATATCCTTTTCCAAATGGAATGACTGGAACTATATACAATATTCAAAATGCAAATAAAACGTAGAAGGGAATAATGGTATCAGCTCTTTTATTTCTATTCCTTTCCTACTGATCCCTAACATGGGATTTGTCTTTTTCTCAACTGTCATATAGTGAGTGAATGGCTCCATTGAGGTCTACATTATGAAGCAAGATCTTTCCCCTACCTAAGTACAGTTCAGGCCTCAACAATGTGGATATCAAATTAGGAAGTTATGCCCCAGTACATGTCACCTTCAATGTTCTTCAAGGGAACTGCGCTGGCCACTGAGTTGGCTATATTTAAAGAGATTCTTCTCAAATTCCTCACAATCACTTTTGTTTTCACTATCTTGAACACTCCAGTATCATAGACAGGCTTGGCCAAGTCATGGCTTATCAAGAAAACTAACAGCCATTGTATTTTCTCCCAGTGGTTTCTGAGGATTAAGTGGTTGACCAAGGTTGAGTCTCCAATTACATATCCAATTATGGGTTATTACTGCCCTCCCAATAAATGTGGGGACAGCTCACATATCTGTTTGTATGACTGTCAAAAGTCACGCTCCAAAAAAGACAGGCCCAGAACAGAAATAATGTAAATAAAATTTAATAAAATGTAATTGCCATTAAAATAAGCAAACAATGTTATTTATATGCACCAACCATAATATCTCATACCCAAACATTCCCTTTCCATCCTCCAACAGCGACAACAAAAATACAAGAAATTGGGGAAGGGGTAGTTTTACTGGATATGGGGGTGGGGGGAAATGGAGAGGAATAGAATTGAAGGTGTAGGACCCGAAGAGGTGATAAGTGGATATAGAAAGAAAGAAAAGAGAGAGAAATCCACCTTAGACCTTAGAGAAAGTTAAATTTCTGCAGAAAAGCAGGGATAAACCAGTCTTCCAATAAAAATCTGGTTTAACAACAATCTGGGTAACCCTAATATCTCGCTGCAGATGAGATTATATTTGAGGCATTTGCTTAGCTAGATGACATCAAGTCCAGCTACACTATACCTATTACACAGACAAGATCTTGGCCTCCCTCCTGTAACTTGAAGCTCTTCCAAAGCTTTCCTATAATTGGCTGGTGTGGGTCTTCCGGGCTGTGTGGCCGTGTTCTGGAAGTTTTGTTTCCTAA